TGGCAGTGGGTGGTATTAGTGATGGTAAATTAGTGGTCTATAGCATTGCTCAAAAAATAATAATGATAACATGAAACAAAAGTGTGCTGTGAAAATACGTACTTATTTGCAAAATAATACTATTGCTCCAATCCATTTCATCAGGTAAATTATATTTTGCACCCCTACATTTTGTATCAAATTTCATTTTGACTTCTATACATGAAATCATGACAGTCAACCCTTTATACTTTTGGTCAAATCCTACTTTGGTCTCTACACATAAAATCGTGGCAGTTAACCTCTCGCACTTTTACTTAAATCTCACTTTGGTCACTATACAAATGTCAATGTCTCACTCCTATTATTTTATTTTTAAATCTTTAACAAAATCTAATCATGTAACCAAAATGTGACTACAAAATGAGAATAAGAGGAAAATCATTCATGTTTCTCACCAATACACTTTTCCCTGTGTGACCAGTGTCACGACCTGCTCCCCGTACCTAATGGTTAAGTATCGTGATGGCCAGTAATTGAAATTACCTACGGCCAATTCTTAAACAAATTAATAAACGCGAGTGGAAGTAATATTTAAGTAAGGGTACCAAAATAATCATTTGAGTTTTTATTTTTATTACAAAATTATATTGACCAAAAATGCTGATATTTACATAGAAAAATATCAATAAAAGTGTTGTGTGTGTCTATTCCGCAGCCTTGCATCTAAGACTTTCTAAAAGCTATTTCTGAATTTCATTATTTCCTGAAAATTGGTAGACAGCTATAAGCACATGGCAGAGTGAGAAATATTATACCAAGAGTATAAGAGATGCGAAATAACCATGAATAGTTATGTAGCCAAAACATTTACATAACCCAGTTTGGTAAATAAATTATTGAAATGACAGAAACTGAAATACAGAAATTATGTAAGTAAATGACCATAACCACAGTACAGAACATAACAGAACAGAGGTCACCGAAGTGACAGTCAGAACAGAGGTACGGATTCAAGAGGTGGTTCGTACGGACTTTAGAGGTGGCTCCCACAATAGTGTAGCACTTAGCTCCACATAGCACTTTGCTCCGCACAGAACATAGGTCAATAGATCCGTGACAAATAGAAAACCACAAAGTGGTCAAAACTGTCACACACCGACAATGCGGAAGCCTTGTTGAAGATAAGCAAGTGTGTGTGGCGCTAGTTAACACTCTTCACTAGCCCGCCAAGAATGCTCGAAAGGTTTGCAAAGACAAGCAAACACAATATTAGTCCAGTTGATGAGCCACAAGTTTGGAGACAAGCCACAATATAGCAATCAACAAGCTAAAATTAAAGTAACAACAATTGAAAGGCTTTGCACAATGTAAAGGCGAAATGAACTTTTTATTACTCAAAAGAAGGAATTACAAAAGTTGAACAATGCCCAAAAGTGTTACAAAAGTTGCCTTACCATATACAAGAGGCCAATGATTATTTAGGTCCCCCAAGGCGTGGAACTCCTGTGGTGGTACTTACAAAACATAATTATATATAAGGTCATAATCAAATATTCTTTAAAAGTAAAAAAAATATATCCATGAGTTTCATTTTAAGCAAATAGGGTTCAGAAAATAATCCACGTAACTGAAATATTAATATAGTTTATAATAATTTATAAAACATAACTTGTATAAAATAAATATGGTAAGTCAAAATATACATAAAATATATTATAGTAACTTAATGTATAATATAACTCACCTTAACTTTAATACCTCACTCTTTCTTTCTAATACCCTCTCAACTTCTATTATTTTTTTTCTTCTTTTCTTTCTCTCTCTCTCTCTTTCCTCTCTTTCCTCTCTTTCTTTTCCTTTTCTTTTCGTCTTTGATATTGCTCTCCTCTCCATTTATAAGGAGGCAGGTCGAACCATTCCCCCTCCACGTGTCCACGGCAAATCCTCCTCAGATTTGGATTCAAATCATTTTAGTTTTGGAAAATGAGTGAGGGTACTAATTAATGCTATCATTAATGATGTGACAGTAGGTCCCACTCATTGTCACAATTTTATTGTGTCTATTTTTTTTTTTTTAAAAAGTGAGTGTCACATCATTAATGGTTACTTTAGAACACCACTTTTAGTGGTCTCTAGCATTACCCTTTAAATTTATAGTTATCTTATTGGCTTAAAGTATTTATATTTTGGCCCCAATTGCTTATAAATAATTATATTCTCCTTTCATTTGATAAAAACACAAATTAAACCCTAATTAAATTACACTCTATCATATACTAACAGAAAATTATTTATTTATTTTACTGCCACACCCATTATTATTTATTATTATTATTATTTATATTGTGACCCCTAAACTTTTAATAATTATATTGTTTTATAAAATTACACATAATAATATATAATAAATTATATATTTTCCTAACTGTGATTAAATAATATTAGTATAAATTCTATAGAATAATTAAAAATATGGGTTTTTACAATAAACAATGAAAGTTATATAATATATATTCGTATGGTAAAAATTGGGACACAAATGTAAGAAAGTAGAGCTTTCAAATAAAAAAAATGCGACAAATAAATCAAAAATAGACAGAAGGCTATGTTATCGTAAAAAATAGAATTTCGTAATTTCAATTTATGTAAAATTCTAATTCATCTTCTTAATTGTTCACAATCTGCATTTTGTTTTAGCATAAAATAGTCGTATTTTGATGTAAATTTTATAATAATGTGTGTATTGGTGAAAAATGTAGATGATTTTTCTTTTTTATCTTCATATCGCAGTTACATTCTTATCACATGATTAGATTATGTTAAAGATTTAAATAATTGAGTAATAAAAATGAGACATTGACACTTGTGTAGGGATCAGAGTAAAATTTTACCAAAAGTATAGGGAATTGACTATCACAATTTCATGTGTAGGAACCAAAGTGGAATTTAACTAGAAGTATAGTGGGTTGACTGTCATGATTTCATGTGTAGGGACTAAAATGAGATTTAGTGTAAAATGTAAGGGTGCAAAGTGTAATTTATCCCATTTCACCACATTTGTTAACAATTGTACAAATCTATTTTTGTAATTGTGAATTTGTACCGTTTCGTTTTATTATGTTAGCATCACGGTTTTGTATAACAAAAATTAACAATTGTCAAATTTAATAGGAAAATATTTAATGATGATCTAAAAGATAGTGATCTATAAATAAATAAATAAATAAAAATCTTGCTAAAAGTTTTGAATTTTTTTTTACCGTCAACATTTCATGACATGATTGTTTTTTTCCTTAACAAACAAAAATAGCATGTCTTAAATAACATAATTTATATTTCTCTTATACACACAAACAATCTCGTAATCTATTTCTCATTACTCCCGACCAACAAAGCTATTGCGCTTGCAGTTGCACTGCCAACACGCATGCAATAGTCACCCTCACATTACCCATTTTAATGTCTTCATTTCTTGTCATCATTATATCTTCAATCGTTGTCATAGTTGGGTGGTCGGGAAAGTCCGGTGCTTCGTAGTCCTTAGCATTTTGAATATTTTGTGTTACTTCATTAATGAGGCTATTTCGTCTTATGAAATTATGTAAAACCATTCATGCTGTAGTTAAGGGAACTTGTATTGTTCAAAAATCATATTTCATCATGTTTGTCAAGATGCCTCACGTTGATTTCCACGCTTCAAATGTCTTTTCGATACAACTATGCAACGACAAATGTGTCCTATTAAAGCATTCGTAATCTTCTCATGAACGTCGACTGCGATAAGGCGATTGGTGATACAAGTAGCCTTTAAATAGTGCCAAAAATCCTATTTTTCTTATTGAAAAATGTTTGAAACTCTTTTTTAAAATCACCTCCAAAGTAATCATAATTAGGGGTGTGCGTAATACCGCCGAAACTGTCAAAACTGCATCGAATCGCACCGAACCGCATCGCAAAGGCAAATTCGTTATTATTTGCCAATCGAACCGCCGATTTTTGATAAGAAAAATGACAAATTCTAGTGACACTTTTATCAATCCGTCAGTTTCTATTTTTCTTCCAAACTGCACCGACCAGCACCGCTATTAAATCATGTTTTATAAGATTCTAAAAATTATTTTTTACTTAAGTTTGTTTGTTGTTTTATACCTTAGAATATAGTATTACATTACTGCTCGAGGGGAATTCAAGATGTCAGTAATCCAAAATAAAGTTGAGTTCCAATTCACTTTTCAATCCTTTTTTTTTTTCTGGCCATGTTGCAAACTTGCATCAGCTCACTTTTCAATCTAAATACTTTTCAACAGTAAACATTTTCAATATATTGTAAACCCTGAATGATTTTAATTTTATGTATTGTATTTGATCATTGTAGCTTCTACAGATGCTTGTAATGAACTGATAGCATAGTCGTTGATATTATCATGTTGTTGCTACACTTGCTGCATCAGAAGAAACCTTTGCAAGATGCTTAATATTACGGTATCTCTCGTCTTTTTTTTACTCTTTGATTTAAGTTTTGTAATTTGAATTATATTTTTTATAAACCATCAATCCGCCCAAACCGTCAAGACAAATCCGCCATTATTTGCCAATCGAACCGTCAATTTTTGATAAAAAAAAATGACAAATTCTAATGACACTTTTATCAATCCGTCACCCGCCATACGATTTCTATTTTTCTCTCATATGTATAAGGTCTACTATATGAGATCTTTAACCTCCGTTTGAGAAGAAAAAAGCCAGGCTTTTTTGGCTAAAATAGCCACAAAAAACAAAATAGGCTATTTTAGCCACAAAAAACAAAACATCAAATCCAACCCATAATCATTACAATCATATCTCACAAAAAAAGTCAAAAAAGTTAAAAAATCAAAAAACTCTTCTCAAACCAGGCTAAAATAATCCAAGTTAAAATAATAAAAAAGCCAAAAAAACTAAAAAGTCAACCCACTTCCCAAACGAAAGCTTAGATTTGTGAGATCTTGTACCGATAAAGTCTCGATCATTATTCTTTCTTATACAAACAGTGACCACCACCACCTAACCCAGTTGATGGATGCCCCCTAATGGCAACACATGTCCATTGGGCAATGGTACATTCATTGTTGCAGCGGTGCACCCCATTTCCCCACTCAACAACAACAACTCATCAAGCTCTTGTTGTTGGGGCTAGAGTTAGGGTTTCGTTGGAGTTCACCACTCGAGCTCGTATGGGTTCCTCCGCCGCAGAGGCCGTCACTTCCATCCCTTCCGACGAAGTTCTGGTACAGTACGTGGTGCTCCGGCGAGACCTCATCGACACGTGGCCGCTTGGGAGCGTCGTAACGCAGGGATGTCATGCCTCGGTATCGGCCATTTGGTCTCACATGGACGATCCTCATACTCTAGATTACTGTAGCCCTACCAATCTCGATTCTATGCACAAGGCAAGTAAACCCTAATTCACACAAAAGTCAATTCTCATTTTTGTTGATCTTCTGATTATTAATTGGTTCTAATTTTCTCTGTTGTTTGTGTTGCTCTTCCGATTTCTGTCAAATTTGTAGATTTCTTGTAGTATTTAATTGTAATATGCGCTTTGTGTCAGTTCTTTGATTCCAATTGTATCAATTTTGTTCTTTAATTTTCACATTGTGTCAATTTAGTTCAATTGATTTGATGACATCAGTTAAGAAAGGGGTTATCAATTTCACTAAATTGAATTGAAGGGTAAAATTGATATATTTAGAACTACAAGAATAACTTCACATTCTGTTCAATTTCCCTTTTCGTTTTGTTGATATCTGTGAACTCTATGTTGGATTCGGAGTTTCTTTTTTTTTTTTTTTTTTTTTTTTTTTTTTTTTTTGGGTCTTTTAGCTGATTTCAGGTAACTATATGTTGAAGTTATTGATCATAATCTATTTCTGAATTGCTACCACTAGTCAGTGCATCTTTTTTTATATCGGTCTAACTCAGTTGATAATCGTAAAGCATGATTTTGTAAAGATTTTGATATGTTTTTTGTGGGTTTTGATAGAGAATGAGCTACTCTGTCAAAGACCAAGGGTTAGCCTAGCCTAAGGATGAGGTGATCCCTATCAGGTGTAATGTCTAGGTTCGAGTTTTACTTGTTACATGATGCAACTTTCACTTTCTCTATTCCCCTCTGCTCTGTCGTCTCAATCACTTGAACAAAATGAGGTGTTAATTCGCCCATGTTGCACTTATTCTGGACATTGGGTTTGGATGGAGAGTAGCTGTCATCTGAGTCACTTGAATAGATTGAGAAGTGAAATTGCTCATATGGCACTTACTTAGAACATTTATAAATCCATTTCTCCTGGTTTTTTGGATTAGAAGTTACCTAGTTTCGGTAATTGCAACTCAATGCTGTGGTAAGATAGTTATTGTAGCGTCTGGATGCTTGTTGACATGAAAAGATACTCATAAGTCTGCCCGTAGAACAGGCTATCTTGACATGACAAATGTTAACTTCTAGAAAATAATATGTATTTTGTTATTCATACTATAGCCAAATGTTTTCCAACATGGACGTGGATGGTGTAAGTTAACATATAAAAAAAAAAGTACACTCAAACTAAAAAAAAAAGGTCATAAAGGTCATAATTTTTTATTTTATTTTCTTTTATTTTGTTGGAATTCCACGCTGTCCGAGTAGAGACCACTAAAACAAATTGGGGTGGTTGGAGATTTTGTTTCAAAAAGCTAGTTCTTTTGGTGAAATTCATGATTTTGTGCTCTTGTTGCTGATGTTGGTATATCTGCTACATGTTGAAACTGATAGGCAATAACTTGCCAATTGAATGTTTCTTTATGGATTATGTAGGTTACTCTTGAAGTAAAGGGAGAAACCCAGATACGGAACTTGTCAGAAAAGCTCACAGCTGGTGACATCGCTTATAAGCTGTGGATCGAACAACCTGAGAACATTCCCACATGTCTTGCCACAAAACCCTACCCTAAATCCGTAGTGTCGTCATTTTTCAAAAAGCTGAAACTCTGTAAGTGATGGGATTTTTTTAAGTGTCATCGAAGAATTTTAGTAATGCAGAATTATCATCTTCGTTCAGTTATAAAGTGAAGTCGTATCCTATAAATACATTTTCAACGATTTTGTTTCTTTTTCTTCAATGGTGAAGAAACTTGTGTTTGGAGCTGAAGTAAAGATGGGTCTATCAACTAATATTTGACATCGTAAGTTGCATTTGTTGTATCAGAAATCTTAAGATGCAGGATTTGAGCCATCCATGCCAAGTACCTCATTTAACATTTGGTTAGGCTTTTCCTTTTTATTCCAATGTACAGTGCAATTGATTTAGGGACATCAAAGGGAGCATAGTTACGGACTAACACGGGCATGACTAAATCTAACCTTTATGCCCACACCTGTTGATGATGACCTACTTTTATTCCTTAGTTATTTGAAATAGATTGGAGCCAATATTCACAGACGGTGTTCACATTTCAGGATTAGCCTGAACTATTGTCGTTCCTTGCCTTATCAAACTCCCAAACACTTGCATGCCCTTAATGTTTCTCACCTATCTATTGGTCATAAAAACTTAGTACATAAAAACATACTTTATCATTGCACATCGTCAAATTTTGGTAATATAGCTTTTAACGCGGTCACTTGCACTCTTCCTAGATTTTGATAATTTAGCTTTGTAGCTGATAATGTTGCTTTTGATATTATGCGAGAAAATCCCTTTGTTACTCTTTACGAGTCATATACAACTTTATATTTTACCGATCTTTTGGGAGGAAAATCTATTATAGTCAGTACTATAAATATATTTTGATTAGTTTGCTGCATCAAATTTTGGTGGCGTAACTTGTAAGGGTATCCCTCTGCTTTTCTCATTACCTGGGATTTTTTTATTCACAAGTGAGCTAGATAAGTTTTCCTTTTCTCTTATGTCTCCTCTGGGTTTTTCCATGATTTTTTTTTTTCTTCCCCAAATATTAAAGGACAAGATTGGTGAGGACTGGAATTTGCATGTGAATGTTATCTTGTTAACTTGAATTTTTCGGAATCTACATGGAATGTTATCTTGTTGATGTGGAGTTCATTCACCAAACTCAAACTAATTAGGCACTATTGATCTGCATTTGCACACAAGGCTGGTTCTCTCTCTCTCTCTCTCTCACACACACACACACTTGAGTAGATAAAGAAAGACTAAACACCTAGTGAAATTTATTTTTAACACTGAGGAAAGTATTTTTCATTTATAGATGATGTTTTTTATTAAATTTGAAGGCAATGTTCATGAAGGCCATTACGTTAGGAACAATTGGCAGCTTTTATGGTTGTTCCCAAATGGCCCCTAAAAACAGCCCAAAAACTGCTGCTGCTGTTCTTTTTTGGCCAAAGAAAAAATAGCATTATGCTACATAAAGGCCCCGTTTGTTTTGGGTTATAGCAAGGGGATTAGGATTACTAGTACCTTGGGATTAGTATATGGGGTGTTTGTTTTGAGAGATTGCCTTGGGACTATTAATACCTTGGGACTAACTAATACCTTGGTATTACTAATACCTTGTTTGTTTTGAGAGATAGGGAGGGTACTACTAATACCTTGGTATTACTAATACCCTTGGGGAGGGGATTCATAGTGAGGAGGTAGAGATGGTATTAGAAAAATAGTGAGGGGATTAGAAATTTTTTTATTTTTTTTATTTTTTATATATTGGAAATTTTTTTTTAAAATATAATTTTTAATTTTTTATATTTTTTTATTTGTTTTATTATTTTATATAAAAATAATTTAACAATTCCTCACTACTAATCCCCTCACTATCAATCCCCTCACTACTAATCCCCTCACTATCAATCCCCTCACTAACAATCCCCTCATTATTAATCCCCTCACTATCAATCCCCTCCATTCTATCTCTGAAAACAAACGACCCTCACTAACAATCCCCTCACTATCAATGCCCTCCATTCCATCTCTGGAAACAAACGGGGCCAAAGAGAACAAAAGTTCCCAAAGTGGGGTGGAGGACTTTGACCCCTTTTGGTAGAACTGTAGGAAAGTGATTATAGCTTGTAGCTTAACAGCTTATAACTTATAACTGTGAACATAAGTCGATTTTTGACTTATAAATTAAGTTTCTCCTCCCCCATTCAAAGAATAAGTTGATTTTTGACTTACAAAAAGCTATAAGTTGTATTGTTAAGATGAACTAAACACATCAAAATAGCTTAAATTAAGTTAAAAATTGAAATAAGCTGGAAATAAGTCCTACTAAACAGGGCTTTTATCTTTTTGGACATTTTTGGCATCCTTTGGCCAACTTTCTGGCATTGTTCTAAAAACACATCCACCATGTAGATATATGTAAATACTGAGAACATGGCCACCATGTAGATATGAGATTTTTATTCATGAGAAGAGAGATTTGAGAGCTTCTCTTTGATTGTGTTCTTAAGTTCTGGCTACGGGTAGCTTCTGATGTTCACCATGGCAAGTATGGTTTTAAGTTTGATTCAGATCTTGTTTCTCGAATATCTGTAAAAAGATTGGTAATTTAAAATTTTTAACCTTTTCAAATCACAGTTGTTTTTTGGCAGTTATAGTTTGTGTAGGGTTTATTTGTTTGGAAACTAGAATTTGTTGTATTTTTATTTTTCTTACAGTTAACCTGGTGACGAGATGTAAAGGGGATTAAATTTTTTCCTACTACGTTTTGAAACGTATTGAGTAGGTAATCAAAAATCACCCTCATGTGAATGGGTGAAATCAAGGCAAACCAAAAGTACATTTTTTGTTTTTGAGATCCAAAAATACATTTAAAAAAACAGTAATGCTAGGTGGTCATAAATTTTGTAGCTTGAATGATCCGAAACTGCTAAAACGACGTCGTTTTAACAATTTCGGACCATTTAAACCACATAAATTGTGACCACCAAACATTTTTCTTAAAAACATGATGGTTCTCAAAAATAAAAAATAATAAAAATGATGAATGGCACAAATAAATTTATTTTCCACTTGTCAAATCCTGGACCCAAATATAGCATACAGATTTTCTTTAGAAGAAAAAAAAAATGATTTTTCTAAAAATGTGCTTACATGATTAATTTAAATATAAGAAGATTTTATTAGATATCTAATTATTAAAGGAAAATTTACTCAACTTATATTTTAAAAATGTAAAGTATCGCACATTTTAAACCATACGAGATCAACGTTCCATTGTTTGGTTCACCTCATTCGAAAGGAACATAAAGCTAAATACAAAACAAGAAAACAATTCCACTCATGCCCACAAAACTCAAATTTCCAGGACAAAAAATACATCAAGAGAAGCTATTTGTGATAGAAATAATAAAGTCCTTCAAAAAGGTTGGGGTTTTTTCCCTTCCTAATGCAGCAAACAAAAAGGAATCCTCCCCCTATCTCCATTATTTTCTCTCCTCCTTTCCGACACCGTAATTTGCAAATATCACAGTATAATTGAGTAACCGTTAGGAGGAGAGAGTATGACAAAGGAGCATATGATAACTGGATCAGCTTCCTCCCTTCTGCTTGAGAGTGATCTTGTCGCCCAAGCTGAGAGCGATCCCCTGGGTCTTGCTCCTTATCCTAATGTAACCACCAAGCTTTCCATCTGCTTGCTTTTCAATGCTAATATTTATCAAAGCATCCTCCCCAAACACGCTCTTTGCGTACAAGTTCGCAGCCAAGAAGCCACATTCACCATCCAGCGCTGACCTGCAACATAAACCAGCCAACCACAACATAGAGGATTGCTTACACAGTTCTTTTTAACCTATCACCGACTTTCAAGTCCAAGCCAGGCCCCATCAGCCTCTTGGTTTGAATACGAATAATAGTAAACAAAAGAAAAGAAAGAAAATATGAATAATAATAAACAATCCTAGCCATGAAATTTTTGCATTTCCCTTCTCATTATCCGACCATAAAACTAAATCATTTCATGCTCCTCTAATACAGCGTTTTAGTAAACACCTTCAAAAGTTCAGACTTGAGAGGCGTTTCTAAAAATGCCAATTAATTAATAATCACTTTTTCTTCTAGTGTATGCAAACATTCAACCATTCATTGAATACTTTAATGTTTGCACATCTTTTCGATATAGAAAATCTTGTCATGTAATCCAAGCCTAGATTACTATCATTATGTTTAATAGCAATGCCAAAGTTGAAAACATTACTAATGCTAGAAATCCCAAAAATTCAACCAAAGTTTCTACCAAATGTTTCACATGAGTGTGGGACCCACATTTGTAAGACATTTGATAGAACTTTTGGTAGAATTTTTGGGGTCTTTAGCATTTTTGAACATAGAACAATCCACCATCTCAAGACCATCATAAATACACACAAGTAGTGGCCTTAGGAAACTTTAGGTTAATATGGAGTTTAATTGGATTAATACATGTTTAAGTTAGAATTTATGCTTGTAACATAAAAGGAACAAAGAAGATATGAGTTCTTTATCTTTAATATTATCCCTTCTGTTGCCAATCAAAAATAAATAAATAAATAATACAAAGAAGAAGATAAGAGAAGAAAAAGAATAACATATAGGTGCATTAAGGTTATTTTACATCTAAAGGCAACGGAATTAGGATTGTATTTTAATCCAAAACCACAAGAGGGCCTTTTGGTTATTTTTACATGTCAATGAGGTGGTAATGCTTCAAGGCCAAATCATATGGAGGTAAAATGGGTTTTCCCCAAATTTATATTAGGAAAAACTTTTGGATAAAAGTCAAAAAGAAAAACTTACGGTGCAGTGAGGCACTTCATGTTGGTCGATTTGATAATGTGATCAAGGAATTGTTTCTCATGTTGAATAACAGTGTTGACAGCAACCTGCAATGTAGTAGATTAGACTGAACTTAGATCATGTCGTCAATCAAATAACAAAAGAATGATAATAAAAGGTAAGAGGTCTTTAATGTGAATGATGGCCTTCCATTTAAGGAAAATAAGGGCAGCTTATATTAAACCAAAACAATGAAAGAAATCAAAGGAGAGATCTACTGCAATGCAACTAGAGCCTAATGCACTTGGAAATCTCCAATGGAGTCCCTATTTCTCATGTTTGTCAGAAATGGCCTCAATTTGCAATAAAGAAAAAAATTACAGGCAAGACAGTAATCCAAAATCATGGTCATCAAAAGTCCACAGTTAATGAAAATGCTCGTGAATGTGATCGG